GGATAAAGTAGTTGTTAGTTCTGTGCCAAAACTTATCTTTGTGTTGCCCTGTACCTTGGATGGCGTCTTGGCTCGTGTTCAGCCAAGCATACACAAGAAGCTTATCCTCGTGGACAGTCTAATTTTCGGACCGTGTGTAAGCCTTCTTCTTCTTTGTGGTCGGTGTTTCTTAGGATGACACTTGTTGTGTTGCCGATTGCGAGAACTCGATGGGGTTACCTTCTTCTACGACTTCTGTATAGAACGACGGGTATAAGGTCGATTCTTCACCGGTAAGGAGTTGCGAATAATAGTTTTGGGAGGGATCCATGAGATTTGTAATTTGATAGGGAAATATAGAGTTTTTTTTATGAGAGAGTTGTGTGGAATGATTTGTGTATTGAAGATTGAGAATTTATAGATGATTTTTTACTGTTCATGCTAGTTTTTTTAATCCCAACGGCTAAATTTTTCAATGGCTGAATTTTTCACCTCAACGGTACATTTTCAACCCAACTTTTCACCTCAACGGTACATTTTCAACTCAACAGGTATTATTTCATTATTGTATTTACTATTTTGATGAGTATCAGCTCAAACAACGCACCCAATTAAAAAAACAAAAGAGACATGATTTCATCCTCTCCCTTCGACAGACCCAACCCCATCCCAATTAAAAAAACAAAGAACCCAACCCTAAATCCTCGTCCCGCAACCTCCGCCGCCAATCTTCATCCTCTCCATCGACGGCCGGCCCGACGGCGACATGCGGAGGCCAGTCGGAGGCCTCTTCGCCGCCATCATCTCCGACCCGACCCGAACGTCGCCATCATCTCCGGCGTCGGCATGCGGAGGCCAGTCGGAGGCCTCTTCGCCGCCATCACTTCGACCCGACCCGAACGCTGCCATCATCTCCGACCCGACCCGAGTGCGCTAACGAACCCGAACTTCCACAAATTGGTAGGGGGCTTTTTTGAGGGGGTTTTTTGTAAATGTTTTGAAGGGTTGGGAGCTCCCAAATGCTCCACAAATTTGTGGAGCGCTTGGGAGCTCTGATGGCTGCAACAGCCACGTCAGCTTTGAGAGTGGGCTTGGGAGCGTTTAGGAGGTTGCTGGAGGGTATGCAGTAGGCTTCCACCGCTACGTCATCCTTGAGAGCTCTCTTACAAACTTGCTGTCCTTGCTCTTAGAAGTATAAACTAGAAGCTTTTGCACAACCACTCCATTGTTAGAAAGGGGGGGGGGGGACCTAGGTCACGTGCAGCTAATAAGCCTATGAAATCCTGCATGAGGGAAGGTATTTCTACAAGCGTATGTGTTTATTTGCACCAAAGATGTTAAAAGGTCAATTATTTCTCCCTCATTGTCATGCTTTATTTCTATTATTTCTCCCTCATTGTCACGCTTTATTTCTAGCTAAAAAGTAATAAAGTTGAACGTAAAAATGTTATACACAATTTAAACATTATTCCTTAGCTATTTAGCCCATGATAAATCGTATAAATACATTTACAAATTGTTGATGTTAAGTAACCAAACAGTCAAATATGTGATGGATGAGATTGATTAGATGCCGCTCACTTCTCTGAATATCTGGTTTTGAGTTGGGTAGCTTCAGCTTGCACAAAATAGAAACTCGTGAGAGGACGGGGCTTAGTTCCCTCGTTGTACCTTCGACGATCAAGTCAGCTGGTGAACTTGAGTGGGAAAATAAAGAACTATGTAAGTTCTCTAGTGTAATGCAGTATAATTAGCAGATATTGCTAGGAAAAGAATCCTTGAAAAAAGATTAGATCATATTGGAAAAAAGATCCAGCCCCCCTTCAGTAAAGAATAATACCTCTATTTATAGTGGTGATGAAATGGTAGAACGCTCACTTCGGCCGAGCACAAGAAGACGGTAAGCAGGTATGTGCTAGCGGCTGCGGCGGCTGCGTCAACACCTACTTTACATGTGTTGGTCGGCGAGTGGAGGAGAGATCACCTCAGCATTAAAATGAGAAGTGATCGGAGGCATGACGGTGCTGACGTGGTTCGATGAGTCATGAAGACTATCGTGGCTTGAGATATGATGCGCCTGCCAAGCATTAAATGTGACGTTGACGTGCTGTCAGCGGGAGAGGCTCGATGCTGAAGTCGTCATTTAGCTTAGCCGAGAAGTAACGCCTTTCGAGTCGACCTCGCGAGGCATCGAATAACTGGTCAAGTGTGTTCGTTGCGAGTCGTCTTCGACAAAAGGGCCGACAAGCACCACCATTTGAATCGACCTAAGGAGATGTCAACTCGGCGAGTCGGTTACGTTGGGATCCTGGGTGGTTTTGACGGATAATCTGACTTGAGCGGTGCATGTAGGTGAACACAAGTCAGTTGCTGGCAAATGGTCGTACTTTGACGACTGAAAACACCATAACACAAATTAATTTTATTTTATTTATAAAGTAATACTATGTGTTAAACCAACAAAAGCAAATTGAAAAAGTTTTCTAATAGTGCATCAATTAAAAACACAATTTCAATTTTGAAGACCCCTTTTTTGGTAATTTGTAGAGCTTTAACTTGCATGTCGCTTACCGCCTATGAAACCAATCACAGGCTTGAAGACCTCTTTCGATACTTTCTTTTCCATGCCTGAAAATGTCTTATTAGTAAAACACCTTATATAGGATGATTTTCCTTTCCTTTTCTTTTTTTTTTCCTCTGTGGAAGCTAAACTCAATCAGTATTTATGGCAATGACTTTCTTGTCAGTTGGCCTAACTCATCATTTTGATTGGATGAGGCCTGTATCTAGCATCTATCTAGCATTTTCTTATTCTTTTTTGTTTTTTATAATAATTTCATTCTGTTAATTGATGCAATCAGACAGAAGATTCTGAATAGGTATGGAAATCTTACCATTTTATAGTAGGTTCCTTTCTCAATAATGATAGCTACACTTTTTTACACTTTACCTTTTCTCATTCTAGATCATAAAAAATATGGGTTAATTTTAGAAAACCCCATCAATTGGAGGGTCATCTCACCAAACCCCCCTCAAATATTTTAACTCTAGAAAACCCTCGTTCAATTATGGGTTTATTGTAGATAACCCCTCTCAACTTTCAAAATATGATTTACCCACCCTCAATTTTTCTCACTTAACCATACTATCCCTAAGACGTTAAATTTTTTACCATAGTGTTCCTTTTTTACTTTTGAATTTTTGTGAAGACTAGTTTCCTCATCAAAATCTATCGAATTGAAACCTACTATTTAAATTCGGTTGGGTTTTTAAACTCACATGAATTATTTTTAAGTAAGGGTTATTTTATTAGGGGGTTATTTAAACAATTATATAGATAAAGGGGGTTTTGTGAGACCCCATTATTTTTGAAAGTTGAGGGGTTATCTACAACAACCTCAAAATTAAGATGTAACTAAAGGTTAAAATAGCCGAGTGAGGTTTTTTCTAAGACAAGTCCCATAGTTGAAGAGGGTTTCCTAAGATCAACCCTAAACTTGTATCATATTTGTAATAGTGCACCCTTACATCTTCATTATCTCAATTTACACACCTGAAAATCTTTTTAGTTGTGTCGAATTAAGACTTCAAGTAATATTTTGGCTTTTCTGCGTGTATCTCCCAAGTCCATCGCATCTACTCTTCAACCCTAAATCATATTTGCTAATTCGGTCGTCAATTTTCTCCATTATTTTTTACTCCTCAATTTTTAATGTTACTAATATATCCGTGAGTAATATACTCATTAGTAAGTTAACTAATTTTATTAATTTACAGTTAAACAGAGAAAGAAATGAATCAAATACCCTAAGTCTCAGTCTCTTCTCTCTCTAATTGTAATTTAATAATATTGATTAATTTAGGCTCTGTTTGGCAAAACTAACTGAAAGCTGCGAGATTATAGCTGAAAGCTGTTAAGCTAGCTGAAAGCTGTGAAATTATAGCTGAAAGCTGATAGCTGTGTAGCTAGCTAATTGACTAGAGCTGTTTGGCAAAAGTAGCTGTACAGCTAGCTTAAATTTGTTAAATGACTAAAAAATGACTAGAGCTGTTTGGCAAAAGTAGCTGTACAGCTAGCTTAAATTTGTTAAATGACTAAAAAGGACATACAATATTATTGATATAAAATTAGAATAATTAGGGGCAAAAACGGAAGAAAAAAATTGGCAGCTCCTTCCCAAAGACAAATGCTACTTGAGGTAACTTTTCAAAAGCTACTTGCAAAAGACATAATCTCCAAAATAATCTCCTCTTATTTTTGGTCACCAAACAACTCTACTAGTTTATTGACCAAGGCTCTGTTTGGCAAAACTAGCTGAAAGCTGCGAGATTGTAGCTGAAAGCTGTTAAGCTAGCTGAAAGCTGTGAAATTGTAGCTGAAAGCTGTTAGCTGTGTAGCTAGCTGATTGACTAGAGCTGTTTGGCAAAAGTAGTTGTGCAACTAGCTTAAATTTGTTAAATGACTAAAAAAGACATGCAATATTATTGATATAAAATTAGAATTATTAGGGGCAAAAACGAAAGAAAAAAATTGACAGCTCCTTCCTAAAGACAAACGCTACTTGAGGTAGCTTTCCAAAAGCTACTTGCAAAAGACACAATCTCCAAAATAATCTCCTCCTATTTTTGGTAACCAAACAGCTCTACTAGCTTATTGACCAAGTCAATAAGACACAAGCTCTTAGGTAAGACACTTTTTTTGGTTGCCAAACAGTGCCCAAGTCAATAAGACACAATATCTTAGATAAAACACAATCTCTTGTTGCAAAACAGTGCCTTAATCATTGATTAATTGAGTTACAGAAAAAGCTGATGAGGGAGATTTGAGGATATATTTGCAAATATCTAGAATCTGAGAGTAAACTTAAAAGTATCTAGATTGGGGGGATAAATGTGTAAAAAGACCACTTCCATTTTCATGATTTGCCCAAAGCATTTAGTGTGACTAATGGAGGGTATTAAAGTTAAACTCTTAAAATTTATGGAGTATTTGTTTCATCGATGATTATTGATTTTGATCCCGTCATGCTCATCAGAATCCATCCATAAAAACGTCGCATCTCTCTCTTTTGTCCGCTTGCGCTTCTCTATCTTCATACAATCACTCGCTCTTCACCGCCGACGACGCCAAGTTCCCAATCCTTTTAGGGTTTCCGAAACCTCACCTTGATCTTCATCGATGGCGTGCGCCGTCACCGACTCCGATCTCACGCTCCCCATTCTCCTCCTCAAGTCCTTCTCACTGATCCGGACCTTTCACTGCATCGTAGCCCTCTCGGTCTTCGCCCTAATTTTCCTCTACAGGTTCCTCGAGTTTCATTTCCTTCGGGACGCCGCTCGAGGGTTTAGGGGAGATCGAGTGGCGCTCACATTCGATCCGAGGTCCGAAATCTACGAGGGCGTCGTCTCCAAGTGTCGGGTTCTTCACGGGAGGTAAATTTTCACGGTGAATTCTGTTGATTTCTTGCGTTTCTCTGTGATTGACCGGGGGTTTTTTTTTTCCTTCGGTTTTGGGATTGAAGGTATTTGGTGACGCCGTGGCTTGCGAGCCCTCATTTACAGACGGGGTTCTTGCATTTTTTCGGGAGGGCTGCGCCCTTTTGTTATAGAAGGTAATAATTGGTGCATTTTTGTTATGTGGTTTGGTTTTTTAATTTTCTTATTCGTGAAGGTAAAAGGCTTGGATTGTGCTTTGAATTGCAATCAGCATGCTCGTATAAGGATCAAAAAGGTTTTTTTAGACTAAAGGTTGTAACTTTATGTGAGATGAAGGTGGCGGTTGGCAGCCTGCCACGGCAACTGAATAGTTACAATTAGGTGTACAAAAGAATATTCATACCCGCAGTCTACAGATATATCCGTATACGTATCTGTTTGGATACGGATGTGGATACTAAATATCTATGTCCAATAGGATATAAATATAAATACTGATACCAAATACTGTATGTTTTTTAAATTTATAATTTATGACACTTTTGGAGATTATTGTACCAAATATTTAGGTGTGCTAATGTTTCTGTTTTTATATTGGTTGAAGTAGCTTGTCTAATTGTTGACTGATGTGACAAAAATGATGTTCCTGCTATCATTAAGAAAGTTTTTGTAGCTTCAGTTGAGTATAAAATAAGAAAGAAGCAACTGAGATGGTTGGGGCACGTACGACATGGATCAAGGAGCACAATTTTTAAATGGAGCAATAGGGTCATAATAGTGCAGTGACAAGAATAAATGTGAAGAAGATGAAACAGAGATTAAGGCAGCCAGAAGGGTATGAAAGTTGTTACTATAGCTTTACTTGAGACTACTATATGGAGAAATAGGAGATAATACTTGGTTTCTTTTGTAGTACCTAGAGTTAGAGGATTGATTCTCAATTCTTATCGATTGTAACCACTATTGTTTTCTCATGATAATGTCTAGCTTTGAGATTGTTAACACTAATTCTTGTTCTTTCACGCTCTAATAATTAAATAATTATTTTAACTGGACTTACAATGGGTGTCTGAAATATTGGCATTGATACTATTCGAGTGGATTGGAGATCAATGTAGATGTAGTCGAAATCATGGTACTGGCATGGATATTCTTTGATATCTGATCTGCTCAAATAGAACATTTACGAATGTGTTATGCACATGCTGTGTTTTCTATCCATACTGAGTTATCTATTGCAACTCAGGCAATTATACACTGTTCAGGACGGGGGAACTATTGCTTTGGATTGGTTGCTCGCTTCTGATGGTAAACTTCAAATCCAAATTTTGGAATAGCATGAGATAAAGACGTAGTTCGTTTGAAATGTCAAGCTGAAGAGTTAACTTCGCGAAATTACTTCAATACTTATATTTAGTTTGTGACTTTCTTCAGCATTGCTATCATTTAGGATTAGTGGGCTATGAACGAGTTCCTTCTTTCTTAGTGATCTTTATCTTCAATAGTGACTTGTGGATTCAGTAAGTCAATAGTATCCCAATAATAGACAATTCCAAAAGAGTGTAAGTTTGAAAATTTGAAATTTACTATGCTAAAGAAGAAAAGTCGAGCATAGTGGCATCAATTACATTCCGTCTGAACAGTCATTGCCTGCAGTTTCTTATTGCTGTGCCTTCTGTATACTTTGCAGTCACAGGTGCTTCTTATGACACTGGCAGGGTCATTTCTAAAGATGATTCAACTCCCCTTGTGATTGTGATTCCTGGACTTACCAGTGATTCCGCTTCTCCAGTAAGTTAATTACTTCCATATTCCTTATTCCTGTATACACACCCAACAATTCCCCTTTATGATGTTTCTTTTGACTAGTACATTGATGCTATAGAACAGTAAACAGGTTCATCCGGCAGACATTGGTATCATAACTTACTTTCTCTATCTTAATGAAACATTATTAAAAGACACTTAATTTTTTTCATAAAGGAGTCTTGCCTGTTGTAGAAAACAAAGCAGATATTTTCAGATGTGATAGTCATACATGTTTTAGTTTTGGAACAACTACCCCATTGAGATGATGATGCATTTTATGATTTTCTTAAAGTACAACATTCGTGAATCCACATCAAAGACAACAAAATTTATAATGTGTCAACTGAAAAAGCCTAAATCCTTGAGTGGAATCCTTGTGTTGTATGCATTAACTAGAATTTATAGTATTAAAAAGTAATGTATTCAGGCAACAAATGCCTATGGTGTTTTTTGTATTAGGACCAATGATTAAAAATAATGAACCAGTGACTTACCAAATAGAACTGCTCTTCTTCAATCCACTTGTGCTTAAAACTTTTATCTTATTCAATTGTTGACATGTTGAACATCCATTTAGTTTATAGCCTTGACTGGTGTCTAAACTGTCTGGGAGTAGCACTGGTGTTGGGCATAGTGGGGAAAGGAGTGGATTACCATGTGGAGAATAGGGTTTGATGTTGGAAGGGCCGCAATATCATACCTTTTTCTAAAAAAGAAAAGGAAAACAAAAGAAATGAAAATGGTGCTGGACACAGTGGTAAGGGAAGGAATGAATCCTGAATAATAACAATTTCACTGAAGGGGCACAAAAAGGTTTATTTGTTGCTTAAAAGAATATGAATGAGAACAAAACTGTCATAATCATCATTTAAAACTCGTTCCTTAAAAAATAGACAACGTGATTCACAAATGATTTGACAAAATTCTGGAATGGGTTTTCAACCTGACATTGAAAGACCATAGAGTTCACTAAAGTTCGGAGACGGTTTGCTCGTCGATGGGAACCTATTCTTGACTGTTCACTTTCAGCTGAAGCAATCAAGAAGTAACTTGCCAGAGTTTTCCTTTAATTAGAAAATTTTCTTGGAGAAAGGGTTATGATAGATTGTCCGCAGGGAATTGCATTTAGCAGAATTCACAGGCAACACAAAAGGGCCAAATAGAAGGCATTCTCAAAGTGAATGGAAGTGTCTACTCCCAAAAAAAGGAAAGAAGTGAAAAATGAACAATAAAAATAAAAATGTGCGTGTGAGTATGTGAAATGAATGATATAAGTGATGCATTTAATCCTCATATTAGACTTTATTATTATTGAATAAATCTATTGATTATGCCTTTGGAGATTGTCCATGGACCACAGTCCTCAGGCTAATATTTTCTAGACTGGAAGTTCTGTGTTAGATACTTGCTTGGCCTAAAATATATAAGTTGATATCTTGTCTATCGTAAGTTTGAAAGTGGCACTACACACATATGACACATCCTATGACTTACAAAGTATCATCCAACCCATTATGGTTTCCTTAGGGGGGAAACATGGATTTTAAAGGTTTCGTGGTACAAAAAGGCTTTACTCTCATGGTTTCTTAGTAGTCCTTAATGGACATTTGGAACTTGGAAGAAACGAGGAGAGTATTCAAAGGGAAAGGGGACTCCTTTTCCCTTAAAAATTAGTTAAGTGCAGATGGATAGAGTGTAAACTTGTGGAAAGTTCCATGTTTAAAAAGAGGTCTCAATAGTATTCGGTATATGTAATACTAGGGTACTGTCAGGAAGATTTGCACCTGCATTCTATTGATAGAAATGTGTATAAGCAGATGTATACAAGGGGAATCGACAGTGTCAGTAGTGATGTAAATCATCTAAAACTAAAACTAACGATTTTGAATGTTTCCAAACGTTTGCTTGAAGTGTTCATTTGTTGAAATTGTTTAAATAACAAAATTTTGAGTTAAATATGACACATAAGTTCATAATCTACGTAAAAATTTGTTTGATTGTTGGTCTAACTCCCTTTTATGCAATGTAATCATCTAAAACTAAGATTAACGATTTTGAATGCTTAAAGTGTTCATTCGTTGAAATTGTTTAAATAACAAAATTTTAATTTAAAATGTGACACATAAATTCATAATCTACATAATTTTTTTTGATTGTTGGTCTAACTCCCTTTTGATTTAATGTAAAGTTGCCTCTAATGTCTGTCTTAGTTATTGGCCAATCTAAAATGTTTAAATCATGAATTATTTTGTGATTTGTGTCTCCCTTCTCGCTACCTCTCTCTCTTCACCCACCATAAAGAAAGGAAGAAAAGAGAAACACTCTTCCTCCCTCTTTCGCCCCCACCACCACCATAAAGAAAGGAAGAAAAGAGAAACACACACCAACACTAAAACCTGCCCGTCCACGGTCCACCTGCATGCATTCGCGAACAGACATAAAGAGAGATGCATACTTGCCAATTTGCACCATTATTATTGCTAGCTTTTTGGGTCAGATAATGATTTTTATGATCATATTAGTTGATCTTATTCTATTCCACTTGATGGGCAATGCAGTACGTAAGGCATTTTGTTTACAGTATGGCAAAGCAAGGTTGGAATGTTGTTGTTGGCAACCATCGGGGTCTGGGTGGTATCTCAATTACTGTAAGTTCTCTTTACCTTAAAGTCATAATTCTTTTACGGTGTATGTGCCCACATGTCAAAATCATTCTAGGAAAGCGTGGTAGCAAAATTCCCCCTTACACTACAAAGCTGCAATATTCATGCTTCCCACACTTAATTGGCTCCATCATTATGTCTCTCTTAAGATGTATACGTATGAAATTATTGGATTTAAATGAATTTTATGCATGAGCTTAATGGTTTGTTTTTGTTTGAAAAATCATAAATTCACGCCCATTAATTGTTCTATTTGATGAATGAAAATGATGAACTAGAAATCAGCTAAATCCATTCAACAAGAGGCAGAACCTAGGAAAAATAGTACATTTGTAGTCAGATTAAATAAATCACTGCAAATCATCCATAGAAATGTTGTGATATAAAACTTCAATTGTTAAATTTTTGTTTAAAAATAACAATGAGAACTATGAACCATAGAGGAAGCAATTACCTGCAATCCTTGTTACACAAAAATCTTAAGAGTTTTAAGTAGGAAGGGAATTGTATAAGATCTTTGAATATCTATAACGATGAATTTAGGTTCCTCCCAGATTCCAATTGCAGGCTTCATACCCTCATCAACTGTGTCTTCTTGTAGACCATCAAGTCTTCCTTATCTTCATCTTTGTCTCCTTTGTGATTGCTATAGAGGAAGAGCAAGACAAAGAGAAGAGGGGAAGTGGGAATTAGTGATGGAGAGAAAAGAAAATGGAGTAAGAGAAGTAAAGGCAACTAGAAAGAGAGAGATCAAATTCAAAATAGGGTTTGGATTTGAGTTGTTTGGCAAGGTTTTTAGTATTATTCCCTCACCTTATCAAGATAATTCGACAAATCATAACTTGAACTTGATTTCTCAGTTCTACAAGTCAATGAAGGGCTGTTTCCAATACATGCTTGATATTGTTGCACATAGCGAACACTCAACCATGCATATCCAAATTAATGGATATGTTCCCATATTTGGCTTGTCTATGAAACATTATGGCATCCTAATGCCCTGCATTATTTCACTTAGTTGGGATAAAAGAATCATTCTTATCATCATTTATTCAAAATGGGTGAGTTATGGACTACTGACCATGTTTTATATTGAAGACCTTCCTTGGCCAAAATTCATTACCATATGCGACCTGGTGTAGGCCCTCTTAACTGGTGATCTATCCTTGGAAATACAAAGAGGAGAAAGCACTTCCCAGAGAACTAGTATTCCAGTTGCAGTAGCAATGATTCTACACTATTTGTTGTGAAGTTCAACTTGAACTATCCATCAGAGATCAGCAGGACTCTGTTTGGGTGACACTGTGTGGTAAAGATCATGAAATTAGTGCCAAATATGTATACGGTTGTGATGCACAATAAAAGCCTAAACAGATAAGAAAACATTTCAAACTGCATTTGCCATATGGTCTACACTTCTAATCATCTTTATAATTGCATTTTATTTTTCTTTTATTTTTCAAATCACATTATAACGATAACATTCCAACCATGTCGACTAGCTTCTATGCTTAATTTTCCATGTGTAGGCAAACTTGTTTGCATAGTTTCATGTTTGCCTTTTTGAATATCATGCAATCTTTGATATTTCACTAATCATCTTGGTCAGTCTGATTGCTTTTATAACGCCGGATGGACGAATGATGTGCGTGAAGTTATTAACTGTCTTCATCAAGAGTACCCCAAGGCTCCTCTCTTTGCCATTGGGACAAGCATCGGAGCAAATATTTTGGTACAAAATCAAACTTATTTTCTCTTTGCCTCTCACTTTGACACAAAACCTAAATTCTAGATTGGCAGGCCTTGTTTTAATCTTCTGTTATTTCATAATTTCAGGATTTTTAAATATGCTTAATTTATGCATTATGTCCTCAAGGCAAACGGCTTTAATGTTATAGAAAAGCACTTCTATATTTAGGCATCTGGCTTGGATTCATTTTGGGGATAACTAGCAAAATTTTTGTCGTTAGCAGGTTGCCTGGAGTTGTCGATAAATTATCCAGGACCAAGTCTTCCTGTTTGGTATTTTGGCATATAGAAAACAACCCACTAATCTTTGCGGTAAAAGAACTTTAGGAACTTTTCACCTACACTAGAAGAAGAGGGAGAAAGAACTTTCTGGAGTCTGGAGCACACAAATAATAATGCAGAATTAGTTAATATCTCCTTGTGAAGGCTTTGCGAAAGTTAAAAGAATGAGGCTGCTCGTCAGACATAATTTCACCTCTTATTCTCTTAACCATTTGCCTGTATGAGGACTCATTGCATAGATACTTCGAATGTATTAAATCTCTATTTCTTGGGGAAGAAATTTACTTAAGCTCATTACTAGCTATTAATGCAATTAAGGTGTGCATAATATATCTCTAAATCTATTATATGTAACCTTATGTCAGAGCTTTCTGATAACTAACCTGATTCTTAAAGTACATGTTGTTCAGATTTTCAATCTATGTTGGTGCTGGTTTCAGGTTAAATACCTAGGAGAAGATGGGGAGAACACTCCTCTTGCTGGGGCAGCATCTATTTGTTCTCCATGGGATCTTGTGGTCAGTTACCTAAAGTTTTCCCTGTCCAAAATTTATGCTTATCTAATTAATTGGACTATGATCTTTCTTCTGTATATATTCTGTTTCTGACTTCTTCATCTCAAAACTAATCTTACATCATAGTGCATTTGCAATATCATGTTAGAATATTTTAATTGTTTACTTAGTTCTCACTCTGTAAATTTTAACTTTCTTTTAAGGACATGGTAACATTGATCTAGAGTTAGAATTTAACAGAAGAGGTTTTTGGGATGTCTATCGAGGGAATTAATGTGTCATTGGATTTTAGTATGCTTCTTTAGCAACCAAAACATAAACAACTGTTTCCATCAATAAGTAAGACATGATGGTGATGAAAATTTCTTAAAAATGAATGTGTGCTGTCCAGATCGAAAGGACAGATTTTTCTTTGATCATCTGCTTCCAGTTATTATATTCAACATCTACATTCATTTGTAAGCATAAAGGGATAGGTAAACTAACTGCATAAGATGTTTCTATTTTCAGTTGAAGCAAAATCGCAATTCTAAAGGATTGTTGTAGTATTTAATAAGAAAAGGGACAGAACCCACTTTTGCTGATCCATCAACTGACATCAGTATGTTAGAAAGAATGGAAGGTAAAAGAGCTGAGAGCTAATTTTGCTTGAAGTTTGGTTTTACAGTAAGAATTAAATACTATTATGTGATGGCAAATATCTGAACCCCTTCGTTTTAGAGAAGGGTTTGGGTTTAGGCTTCCTTTACTGAAGATGCCATCAATCGTTGTGAACAAGCATTGGAATTTGACAAAATCCCTCTATGAAAATTACTCATTTCCATGCAAATAATCACTGGAGGATAATAGGCTCCTTAAAGAAGTTGGATGTAATTGATTTCCTCTGATGAGGGTTTGAGCCTGTATTTGATTCGGGAATGAAATCAACCCTTCAATTCACACTTTGGTGGATTTTTATGCATCTAAGGTTTCATGCTATGTTGATTCTTTTGCTTTGCAAGTTTTTCAGAGGGGGTGCCCTTTATTTTCTTCCCCTTTCAACCAGTAAATTCGAACTTCAACAAGCCTTTAGCTCAACAGTATATTATTGCTTGAAACATACATTTCTTGTCTGAAGAATTTATCAAAAATATTTTGAATTTGTATTTTTGAGAAATGACACTAGAAGCAGAACTAAATGGAGATTTATCGTGGCATTACTCACCATTCGTGCACATTTGTAGGTCTGTGACAGGTTTATTAATCGCAAGCTTGTCCAGCGGTTGTATGACAGAGCTCTTGCTCTTGGGCTTAAAGGTTATGCTCAACTGTAGGTTCCTATTAATCTTGCATCCGGTAAAGTAGTTATAAATTCTTACAAAATTAACAAAGCCACTCAATTTTCCTTTAAATGTATACAGTTATTATTTACTTTTGTTTAGTTGGATGATAATGTACATCCTCTTTTTTTGATTTTGCTTTTATTGCAGACATCAGGCTGTTTTGACGAGGCTTGCAAACTGGGATGGGATCAGAAGTGTATGCTTCCTTCTCTCTCTTGTTTTAGAATTTCACGGATTCTGGTTGAAATGTCTTTTAAGTACTAAAACATATTCTTGGACCATCAAGTACTTACACTTGGAGGCATGCTCTCATTCCAATTTCACGGGTCCTTACACTTATTGTTACCCTTACACTTATTGTTACCCTTCTTTTCTCATTTTGAATGTTCTTAGTTATGCCATGTGAAGATATTGCTTTGTTGTTTTAGACCTATAAATTTAGAGTGTTGGTCCTTGGATGATGAAGTGTTGCACATAACTTTTTGCTGACCACCTGTCAGTTTCAACTTTTGCTACCTGCATGATGATCATAGCACTAGGACTAGAGAGGTACTAGGTCCCAATTCCACCACAAACATTTATTTCTTGCTTTCCTAGTGAGGAAGTGTTGAACGTGTCCTCTTCTTCATGGAAAGTAGTGTGTATACGCGTGTGTGCACATTTTGTGAGGCTGTAAGGGGTCAATGTTGAAAAATGCTTTCGATATACTTATGTAGGTAGATATCGGCAGTTGTTGGCCACAACTAACCTTCGGTGACCATTTGATTTTAAAGGTTTCTTTATCATAATGATTTATTAAGTTGCAGTTATAGTATTGAAAGCTGCTTTGAAACCTATGCTTGTAGTTTCCCAAGCTCTACTTTCACTAACTTTATGGTCTGTTTGTCTACTAATTGGAGTTGTCACAGAATTGGATTCTGATGAGAAGAAAGGTAAGAGGATGTAGGGAGATAAATAAGGAGAATAGGATATGAGATTTGTCATTTGTGAAAATCCAACAAGCTGGATTTTGTTAGCTGTATTTGGTTTAACGTTTGAAGTTAGATACTGCAACTTTCTAAACTATGAGACAAAACAGGTTTTGATATTTAAAAATAGTTATTTAAATATAGAATAAAATTGCAGTTAAAAAAACTACTGCAAAGCCAAACAGAGCTTTTATGGCGATTGTGTTATAAGTTTTGACTATTGCTTCATCACAGAAATTCAGTGTCTGAGCTTTACCGTTTAGGAATGTGTCCTGTAGCTGCTTTTCTTGTTTTGACTTTGGTCATCTGAAAGTGATATTTACTTAGCAAGGCAGTATTTCTTTGGACCGCAGTTACCTCTTTTCATGTTATCTTCCTTTTCTTTTTGCTGACTTTTGTTATGACCTTTGCAGTCACGTACTGTTAGGGATTTTGATAACCATGCCACTTGTATTGTTGGAAAGTTTGAGGTACTAACTATCATCTTTCTATACACTGATGTATTTATTTTCTACGGTTTAATCAGTAGCATCTATTGTTTGCTCAGACAGTGGATACATACTATCGCCACTGCAGTTCTGTTAGTTTTGTCAAGGGTGTATCTGTTCCTCTGCTCTGCATCAGTGCTTTGGATGATCCAGTTTGTACGAGTGAGGCTATTCCTTGGGACGAGTGCAGGTATGGCGGTTATCTATTTCTGGAATGATGTTTAGTTCAAGAACTTTATAGTTCATGTTATATTTTCGTTTAATTGTCATATTGTGCTTTTGCTCTTATAGGGCTAACAAGAACATTGTTTTGGCAACCTTACCTCATGGAGGCCATCTCGCATTTTTCAAAGGGCTTACTGCACACAGCTTATGGTATATCAATATCCTTCTTACCTTCTCCAGCCTTTGCATCTCGCTTTTTTTAATCTATCATAGCATCATAACCTATTTACATGGGGGCTTCTATCTGAAGTCATATCCGTACCCGCACTGACACTTCTCTGGACAATTCTTTAGCATATGCTTACATTTTTTCTGGTTGTGTGCTCAATTATATAATTCATGTTTAAACTTAAAAACACTCATCATACGCTTCTTGGTTGTATGCCTTTTACAAATTTGCTCTGTCCCACACCCATACCCGTTTCTATACAAAGATTATAATCTTTTTAATGAAATAAAGTGCTAAGATGAATAACACAAACTCCTATACAAACCTTTACACTGGCCACTGAGAATTGTCTGAATATTTATTTTGATTGCATAAGTTAAAACTATATGGATATTGGCTACTGAAATAATGTTTTAGGTCTGTGAATACAACTGGTGTAGCCTTCTGTAGCATTGTTGATGTTGGTCCTGACTTGTCTATTAATCCAAAGTACGCTGGCAGAGTTAGTCTGGTTGGAATTAGGTGCTCAGTTTGTCAATAGGCATTTCAGTTGATAGGTATGCAGGATTGGTAAAATAAATCTTTTACAAGATCTTGACATTGATGATTACTATTTAGATGTATTTGAAGCCTCTATTCCATTCTAATTGGTTGATCACCCACCAACAGCTGGAGGTATGACAACACATTGTCTACCTTATTTGAATAGAAACAGGGATTCCACTCCGTTAAGTGGAATAGTGCTTGTTGGGGATGGAAGAGCTTGCTGCATTAATTAGCACTGTATTGGTTTGGGTTGAGAAAGCGGGGGTGGTGTTGAGGAAGGGCCATGAAGGTGAAGAGGGAAAATAGTCAACAACGGAAGAAGA